GAAAGAGCTTATTTCCATTGTTTTTGCTCTTGATAAATTTAGATCTTATTTTCTTGGTTCTCGTGTTATTGTCTATACTGACCATGAAGCTCTGAAGTACCTACTGAAAAAGGTTGAGTCAAAGCCTAGAAATATCAGGTGGATGCTCTAGCTCCAGGAGTTTGATTTGGATATCCGGGACAGGAGTGGAGCTCAGAATTTAGTGGCAAACCATCTCATCATGGAAAATATAACAAAGGAACAATCAGGAATCCAAATATGACTAGGGCGTCCCACACAAACGCTGCAAAAATGAAGGCCCGGCAGGAAAAATTAAGGCACGGCAGGAAACCAACTAAGGGGGCTGCGCAAAAGTTAGGGCAAGATCTGCTAGGAAACCCACAAGTAAAAAATGGGTAACCTAGGCAAAAGTAAAGATCAAAAGAATATTTTCTGCTAGGGAACACATCTCAAGTGACCTAGGCAAAATTTAGGACGTTAAAGCAGCAACCTGAGTTGAAAACTAAAAGGTAGCTCAAGGGAATCATTCAATTAGAGCACGACCCCGAGTCATCACTCCACTTTCCAAAAAGGCTTAAACACAATGATAGCTTCCTTGCAGCAAATATGTTTTGTTTAATAACCCTAAACACCAAAGCCTGCCTTGGCCAACCCTTCTTCTAAAAAACCCTTTTAAAAAGAAAAAAAAATCCTTTCTAACAACCTTTTGAAAAAAAAAAAACAAAATAATAATAATAACATCCCTCATTTCTTTTCTCTTGACCCTTATGGCATTAAAATGGTACCGAAAAGATACACGGAAAATGCACAGTGAACACTCACAAAGAGAAGACAAAGACGTCTCTGAACGGAGCCTAGAGACGTTTGACTAGACATTAACCAAGGAGCCTCTGAAACCTTGGGTTTAAAGGAGTATACCCCGACAATAATCACGAACCACATGGATAAAAAGGAATCGTCAACATTAACCTTAACGCGCACCGATTAATTTACCAACAATAAAATTGAATTGCATGTTTACGACTAAACACATGAGCATAAACTGCATCGCATGCATATGAGGCAGGGGCATATGGAAGGGCGTTACACAAAAAAAGGAATATAATAATAATAATAATAAAATCACTTCTGTCTTGCATTTTCATTGCATCCATGCATTCTACTTCCTATGGGTCAAAGGACTCATCAGCATAGAGCACTCATGAAAGATAAATAGCCAAGCAAGAGCCATAGCAGTGTCAAATGGCAACCCTAAGTGACTCTATGTGCCCTCTAAGCAAAGACATATCAACAGTAGAATAGAATGGAATCGACCAAATAAGCAAGCCTATAAGCAGGAAGAGGCCATCACGCCTTACTTCCTTACCAAATGAAGGATGATCCAAGAAAATGTCAAGACCGGGAATGTTTTCCTTACCAAAGCCAAGAGTGGCTTCCAAAATAATACTCATCAATAAAGACTCAACAAATAACATCATGGGAATAGATCCCTCCACCAATGATGACAATCAAAAAGCAAAAATAACATGAGAAAAAGGCAAGCTTCGTAAATGTTGAAAAGGCCGAAGCATTTTAAAAAAATAGCAAAAAAACGGCAAGCTTCAAACATGAAAGAGCCGAAGCTAAACAAAAAAAAAATTTAAAAAAAAAAATTCTACCACAAGCAGGCGCCTGGAGAGGCATCACAATACTCAAGTGGCAAGGGCAACATTAGAATCCCTGCCAGCCATCCACTTCTCTGCCCACCAACACAAGGGCACATCAAACATCTCATGCCCATCCACTTGGGGGCAGTCTTTCATCCCACAACACCAACAAGAATACATCAAGTACAAGAACGGAAAGGGTTGCTAGATCCCTAAAACTAGTACAAGAACAAAGAGGGTTATCTGACCTTAGAGGAGGCCGGCTAACCGCCTTAAAATATGATTCCAGCTTGGAGAGGCTGAGCTACGAAACTACTTCAACAACAAAGAGGGTTACCTGACCTTAGAGGAGGCCGGCTAAAAGCCTTAAAATATGATTCCAGCTTGGAGAGGCTGAGCTACAAAACTACTTCAACAATAAAGAGGGTTACCTGACCTTAGAATGTGCCGGCTAAATCCCTAAATATCAATCCAGCCTGGAGAGGCTGAGCTCAGAATATACTCTCTCTTCAACAAGTTACGAATAAAGGAACACACTACCATGAAGCAAGCAGAAGTAGTAGGATGCATTTACATCAAAGCCAGAAACCTATATGGTACAATTTTACCATCCTTATCACCCAACAGAGCATATAAACCAACATCCAGTTGCTCTTAGGGACAAGGATACAGGTAAACACCATCTACCCGAAGGAAATGGTGTGGGGGCATCTACACTGCTGAAGTAAAGGAGAAGGTTCAGACATAGCAAGTGACATAGGTCATTCACATGGATCTTGAAGCCTAGATGTTTCAGTTCACCATCCTTGACACCCAATAGAGCATACAATCCAACACTCAGTTGGGCCAAGGGACAAGGATATAGGGAACACGGTCTCCCCGAAGGAAACAACGTGAAGGTATCTATTGCCAAAACAAGAGTGAAGATCCGAATTTTCACCTCACTATTACAAGAGAATCAATGGAGCTTCTACTCGAAGACTGAAGATCGGGTGTACAATTTTTCAGCCTTGTTACCCAATAGAATACGCAACTGCTTTAAAGGGTGAGGATACGAACAAATACACCTATCTAAGGGAAACAACGCAGAAGCGCCAACACCAAAGAGACGAAGAGAATACCCGAATGAAATGTCTACGTCTTTACTTACCTTTGGAAAAACAACACATTACTATTCCAAAGGACAAGTAAAGAGGGGTAGCTGTAGACACCCAATTTCGTCCGGGGGCATACAAACAAGGAAATTATGAAGGGAAGGAGCTCCCGAAGCATGCCAACAACAAGACAGGACATTAGAAGGCCCAAAAGCCAAACAATATGGTTTTAGTAGCCTAGAACGGCCTATTGCAAAACCAGAGCGGGTCGTTCCCAATTTGGAACGGGCCGTTCCATGTTCCTAAAAGGGCCTAAACCCCTAGTTTGGAACGAGCCGTTCCAAACTCTTCAAAAAAGGGTTAAAATCTTAACTGGAACGGGCCGTTCCAAAAACTGGAAAGAGTCGTTCTAAGTTATTAAAATGGCCTAAAAATTCTCGTTTGGAACGCCCATTCCAGTCTACCAAATTGTGTGTTAATCTTATCTCTGGAACGGGCCGTTCCAGTTTCAGAACGGGTCGTTCCAGTTACGGAACTAACACATAATGGCCAGATCCAGAACGGGCCGTTCCGATTTTGGAACGGGCCATTCTAGACCCTTTCTGATGCCTATAAATAGACAACTTCGGCACAGTTCTCAGGACCCCAAGAAAAATTTTCATTTGGGACTCTTTAGAGTTTGAAATTTATCTCTCTCTCTCTCCTCTTGTATTTCTTGAGTATTGTGAGGCAATTGTAGTGTGAAAGGTTGCCACAAAGTACCTAGATTTTCCATATCTGAAGATTTAACAAAGCTTGCCACGAGGTATTTCAATCAATCTTCTTCTATATCTTTTATTTCTCATCTTTGTCTCTATCTTTTATTTATAACAAACGCAATCATGCAGATATTTTAGGGTTAGACGTATAATTTAAATTTTAAATATGTAAATAAATATTAATAAAGGGGATTACATATTTAATTTATTAATTTTTATCATGTTAACTTTATCATAGGGTACCGATTGAGGGCACTGTAGGGATGCTTAATACCTTGCCTACACGTAACCGACCCTCGAACCCAATTCTGGTTATCAAGGCCATTATTGGATCTTTAAAAACCTTTTTTTTTCCAATGTTTTGAGTAAAATATTGGTGGCGACTCCATGAACCTATTTTCAAAAACATTAATTACAGATTAGTCTGGTGTCCGAGCATTCCTTAATTAATGAGACTTTTAAAAGGATGTCTAAACTATAAGTCGCGAGATCGAAAATTTTCGGGTTGCGACAGTCCCCAAAAAAGATGGCAAATGGAGAATATATATTGATTATAGAGTCATCAATAATATCACTATCAAGTATAGACACCCCATCCCTAGGCTTGATGACATGTTAGATGAATTTCATGATGCATGCATATTTTGCAAAATTGATATTAAGAGTGGTTACCATCAAATAAGGATTTGAGAAGGAGATAAATGAAAAAACTACTTTTAAAACCAAATTTAGACTTTATGAATGGTTAGTCATGATTTTTGGATTAACCAATAGATCTAGTACTTTCATGAGATTAATGAATCATAACCTAAGGGATCATATAGGAAGGTTTATTGTTGTCTACTTTGATGACATAGTAATGTATAGCAAGATTTTAGATGAGAGTCTTTGCCACCTAAGACAAGTTTTGTCTATCTTAAAGGATAACCACCTCTATGCCAACTTGGAAAAATATACTTTTTTGCAAAGAAAATGTGAATCTTTTAAGTTTCTTAGTTGGCAAAGATGGTGTTTATGTTGATCCCGAAAAAATAAAAACTATCCAAGAAGTAAAGAGCTTTCATGGTCTAGCTAGCTTGTATAAAAGATTTGTAAAAGACTTTCCTTTTTCTACACTTGGGGGAAAAGCCCATTTAAAAGCCTTTTGAAAAACTAAGAGAGACATACACATCATATGTTTATCACCTAACTCCTTTACAATGTTAGTGTTAGTAATCTAGCTATGAATTCCTAATACATATAATCAATTTTTACATTAGAATTTTACAAAATTTAGATAGGAATTCCCGACAAATAAATATCATTTCTCATGAGTACAAGTTAAAATAGTAGTCATTTTCTAGATTTAAATGTGAATTAAATTGGTATTTGTGGCTCTTCAAAACTAGAAAGAAAATAAAAACACTTATCCAACTATAACAATATTTTTTGACCGAAGGGTGGCTTCCAACTTTTATAACCTAACCCAGTTATTGTCGTATTAAAAAAATTAAAACCAACAATAAAGATGTTAACAACAATTAATTGACCTCATGGAAAACTCAAACATCCAGTTACTAATTCAATCAAAAGCTAAATGATATGGATTCTAAAAGTCAATTAAGTAAAACTTCAACCGTTTGAGAATTTGATCTGTTCACTTAAACTTTGAAAATCAAGCATCCTGGTGAAGCGATGAATGGTTCTGAAATATTCAGATGGCACGCATGTTAGCAGAGCCCAAGAGGAAAATATCTCCTGACTCGAGTCAAAAAAGACAACATTCCCATTTGAGGGCAAAATCCACACATTAACTACCATTGTCTGAATAAAATCAAGCAAATAAGCAGTGGCAAGTTTAAGCAGCAGACTTCAGTAGTATGCAACAGCTATTGCAGCTCCAGTGCTTATTTTAGATGCAGAGGACAAATCCGGTAGTCTAAAAGATAATATTGTTTTCCATAACTTTGTAAACTAGCGGGTTTATTGCAGTCAAGAGAATGGTGTCTCTATTTTATCATGCAGGGTGACCACTAAATTATGTGCATCATCAAGCAGTTTCCAAACATCAAGCTGTCCTGACATGCTATTGCATTCCTTAATGATCTCATCCATGCTACTGTATTTCTCAATGATCAATTTCCTTCTCTGCAACACAGAAGCCGCTATTGCGTAAAGCAATAAATCATCTGTTGGTGGGGCACGCTGCCTAATTCTACTCCATGCAGATTTCCCAATACCTGCCCTGATTGCCGCTTGATCTGCCCACACTACTTCCCATAGGCAAAGAGTCTGTTCAAATGTCAATTCCCTTCGAAACATTACGACCACCATCCTATAAACGAAAAAGCAATCCTCAGCCTGAAGCTTTTCCAAATGCCTGAATAGGTGGGCATCCTTAAACTTGATTATTTTTGCAACTAAATCCAGTTGCCTGCGAATACCCACCTCATCAAGCCTAAAATTTTGTCGTGCCTTCTTCATGAATCCAACAAAACACCAGAAAGCCTCATAATCCTCTGATATAACACTGATTATAGGAGATAGCAGGTCACTCATACCCTGGCAGTAGCCGATGTCGGAGTCATATAGTGCATATGCTTCAAGAATAGCAACTAGTCGAGCAGCATGGAAGATTCTGCCAGGCTCTAGGTGACCATAATCCTTCAATCCAACAGCCTCAGCAGTACGATGTGCCCTGCTGTCTGATACTTCAGCTAGAGAGGGGTAAGATGTCATCCATTCTGCATTGGCACGAACAGCATCAAGTCGGATAATCCGTTGCCAGGTGGAAAAATCTTCAGTAGTTGGTAGCTTTGTTGGGGATTTTGCTTTGGAGGGAGTAGAGACTTCATCGGAAGCTTTATTGGGATCATTGTGTTCCTGAACATGATCAGTAGGAACTTCCTGAATTACTTCAGGACTTTCAGAGGAGTCTGAATCAGAAAAATCAGTATCCAGGGTAGACACGTCAGCATTGTTGGCATTAGGCACATCATCTCCTTCCAACAGGGCACTGTATGGATCGTCTGAATGTTCAACAACAGGGGTCCTATCCTCGCTAGAAAGAGATTGTCTAGCACTGGCTGCGTCATCAGAACTAGAACCAGAAACTCGAGATAAATTTTCACCATCTCCCTCATAGCTGATTTCACCATCTTCATCTAACTTACTTCTCTCATTGGTTTTCTTTAGGAGTTTCCGGCATTCTCTGCGGAGTTTCTCATATTGCTTTCTGTGTATAAAGATTTACAATAAAATCATTATTATCTTAAAACCCCCATCCCCACCAAAAAAACAAGGAAAAATAAAAAAATATATATATAAATTTAAAGTATGGCTAAACATAACGGAAAAAGCACAAAATGAAATAAATGAATCAAACATTTGGCATCAAACTTGCATTCCCACCTATTTTGAGTTCTTATAACGTCTCTTTCCTCTTTGGTGCTGTCTAAGTCATACCTGTTGAAAAGAACAAGTATAATGAGTCGCTGTATAAAAGTTATCTGAACAACTAAATACATGCAAAATACAAGAAAAGAAAAAAAATTAGAACAAATTCCAATTTTCTTAAATAAAGAAAGAACAAGGTAATTATTATCCTTCCAAATGCATAACACGGAGCAAAATACATGGCTGAGCTAGATAGTAACTATTCATCATAATTGTTCAAGGAAATAATTAGTAAAAATCATCGGGAAATCAATAGCTTACACTCCAAGCAGGAATGGGAAAACCTCAGCCCTAATACTAGGATCAACACCCTGCAACAGAAATTGACAATGTAAGAAACACGAGAAACACAATTTTAAAGTGTAATTCAAAGACTAGGTAAACTCACTCCACTGCGCACTCTTTTCAGGAACTTAACTCCATCATCACAGAGTCTACCATCTTCTGCAAACAAGCTTCTCCATTGCTGCGGCGAAAGGACGTGTTTTCTTTTCCTGTGCGACCATGGTGATGTAATCCGACCCCTAAAAATACACGAAAAAAAATAATAAGTAATTACTACTTCCAGGTTTTAGAATAGAGAATAAGGAGCCAACAATCATGGATGTGACTAAACTTGCAGAAACATACACACATGCAACTGCATCATAAAGAACAAGTACACCCAGAAAGATATCCTTCCATAAGTAAACAACAGCGCTCTAACACAAACCAAGAACTTTTTCTAGCCATTTAAGTTTTTCTTCTTTCCCCAGTAAAGAAGCCAAACAATCATCTCTAAATTTTACCATTCACAAACTAGTCTACAACTCTACATGGAACACAGTCATGTCACAAGTTACACACTTTTCATTCTCTTAACTTCAATTGATTTTTTAGTTAAATGCTTAATGTACAACTCTCTTAATTCCTTAATTATCAAGCACTTAAATACACCCAGTGCTACATGCATTCAAAATACAGTAATAATCCTCCAGCTCCTATTTCATACGACAAAAAAATACACAGGTTTAAGAAGCATCTCTCTAAATTTATAATCATCGTTACGTACTTTCAACACTACTATGTACTAAACTCAACGTATAATTCAATAGTAACTCTATTAACTGCTAAATAAAAAATCCTATTTTGTTTTAAATTTATCTTTGAGAAAGGAACCTAAGCTTAATTTGTGAAGAAGATATAGAAAGCACAAAAAAAAAAAGAGGCATAAATCATTCCATAACGAAAATGCAATTTTCACATATGAATCCAGAACGCAATCATAAATGGTTATCTCGTTGAAATGGATAGTCGAAAAACAAGAGGAAAAAGGTTCAATTTGGAACAAGTGGAAAGTGATTGAAAAATTGGGAACGCGGAGAAACATAGATCTGGCACGAAACGCAGCGCTTAGAGTTTGCAAGAGAATAATGAAAATCGAGAGAGAGAAGAACTCACCGATCAGAGAGAGAACGAGAATGAGAAGAGGAAGCGGAAACAATGAATAGAACCGAACGCAAATAGGTCCAAGACGACGTCGTTGAGGGCGAAGAAGAAGGAGAAGGAGAAGAAGGAGGAGACGAATTAGAAGATGGATTTTTGTGTCTTCGTCTACGAGGATTCATCTAAAAGCTATAATGATGATAATTACTAAATGTTTCATAAATAATATTAATATAAATACAAATACACACACAAGCAAGGTTTCCTTTGGCTCAGTGGAACCAAATCGGAGTTACGGGTTTTGGAAGCTCTAATGCGATTTTTTCTTTTTCTTTTCTGTTTTCGGTTTTACCTACTGGCTCCGTAGAAAATCACCGCGACGATGGCGACGCCGGCGAGGGCGGTGAAGAGCACTGCCGGAGTAGAGGGCGAGGCTGCGGCGGCCATCAACCAGAACTTGCACTTGCCACCGCCACCGACGGGGAGAAAGGTGGTGTCGCTGTTGGTGTTGGCGTTGGTGTTGGAGTGGGTGGATGTGAACATGGGGCGGAAGAGAGAGAGAGGGTCGGGGTGAAATTACCGCAATGCCCTTTTTATGAGACCCTTTTCTCTCCTCCGCCTCGTGCCGCGCTCTTTTCTCCGGTGACCCAAACGCCGAAGCCAGGTTCAGGTTCTGTTTGCTTTTTCTGAAGCTTTGTTTTGTTTATTTATGATTTTGTCTTTCTTTGTCGCTGCGTGAGGGTAAAGCACTTGGATGAGATGGAAATGGAAGAAAGAATATAATCCAAGAAGGCATATAGAGAATGGGATTTGAATTATGTACAATTATGTTTTGGTCTAGTTGTGTGTAGTTTAATAAATTTTTATTATATAATTTATTCAATCATTCATATTTTGTTACATTATTTTTTTTATATTAAAAGTAAAATAAGAAATTTTATGATATTTATATTATGAGAGAGTATTGGTATAGTTGTAATTATAATTTTATTTTATATTTTTAATAATTTATTTAAATAATATTAATAATATTTTGTTATTTTATTTTTTAAAATTATTTAATCATTTTATTTTTATTTTATATGTTTGAATTTTATTTAAGTATATTTTTGTCTTTTTGTCTTAAATTTTTTAATTTTTATATTATAATTTTAATAATTTTTTATTTCTATTTATTAATTATTTTCTTTTTTAATGTTTAGACTTTAAGATTTATTTATATAATATTCATGATATTTATTCTTTCATTTTTTTTAATTATTTACTCATTTTATTTTTATTTTGTATATTCTAATTTTCTTTATAATAATATTATTATATATTTAAATAGTTTGATTTTAATAATTTTTTAAGTATATTTGTGTCTTTTTATCTTAAATTTTTGAATTTTTATATTATAATAAATTTTTATTTTTATTATTTATTATTTTTTTCTTTTTTAATATTTTATAACATTATTGAAATCTTATAATTTTATTCGTACTATTTCTTTTAATGTAAAATGACATGCTAGCTAAAATCATCAATAGTTATTATAAAATATAAAATAAAATTATAATTATAACTATATCGATACCCTCTCAAATAATATGGGTACCATAGAATTTCTCGTTTTCTTTTTAATGTAAAAAAAATGATGTGGCAGAATGTGAATGGTTAGATGAATTATGTGATAGAAATTTATTAAATTGCATACAAATGCACCAAAATGTAACTGCACATAATCCGAATCTTAAAGAATGATGACTTTTTCTAGTGGGGAAGCAAGAAGTGTATCCAAAAATTTTATAATCATTGGGTAAAATTATTTAAAAATGAACTGTGCAGATTTTTAATACATCTCCAATTACAAATATTATGCAAAATATACATTATTTGTTATTTTTTACAGAAATTAAATGACCATTCCATCCTTCTTTCCCTAATTTGACCTTTGAAAATTATTTGACAACTCGTTTGGTTTTCCAATTCTACTTGTATTTAAAAGAAAAATATTACATTTTAAATTTATTTATTTTGCTTAAATTTGTTCTGACACTAAAATCATATGATTAAGGCTTTCTGGTGGGTTAAGGTAGGAGAGTGTTTATAAATGATCTTTAGTCTCAACTCATAAATAATATAAGACTTTTATGTATATCGAAAACTTTTAGGTATATTGAACCAAGTCTTTCGATTGAGGCAAAGGGGCAAGAGTGGCTTGAGCCTTCCTTCTATCGTCAATGTTTTAACTGTAAGTTCGTTGACATCGTTAAGGTGATCGCGTCTAAGATATTATTTATTTTAACACTCACTAAGTCATTGAAAAGGCATCTGATGGAGGACCATCATAGGAGAGCTCATACTTGAAGACCATTGCGCCTTTAACTAGGTCCATGGTTAGGAGGCTTTTACATAGGATGTGCTTATGAGACCTATGCTCTACATGAGCATTGAGTATGATTCTGAAGTTGGAGGAAAAACACACAGAAGGGGGGGTTGAATTTGTGTGCGAGAACGAAGGATTTTTAAAACCGTTTTTACAAAGACACTCTTTACCGTCTAAAAATAATATTATCTTGAACACTTAAAACTGTGCAAAGTTGACTTAGCAAAAGATTTTCCGTCTGAAGGTGTATCTTCTGCACAAGGAAAATGTTTCTTAAAAGAAAAATGTTCTTTAAGATAATAAGTTACGCAAGTATATTTTTCGTCTGAAGATAGTTGTAATAAAAAATAAGCAATGGACGAAAATTTCAGTATGATATAATAGCTAAATAAAATAGCATCTGGAAATACATAAAGAATGCAAAGAGTTTATACTAGTTCGCTTGACCTAAGCTACGTCTAGTCTCCTTCAACTGAAGGGTTCCACTAATCACAACGGATTACAAGTATTATCAACCATTTTTGGTTCGTCAACTTCACTCGTCGACGCTAGTATTCTTAAACCACTTCTGGTTCCCCAAGTATTATCAACCACTCTTGGTTCGTCAACTTCACTTCTTAATGCTAGTATTCTTAAACCACTTCTGGTTCACCGAGTATTCTCAACCACTCATGGTTCTCCAAGTATTCTTTCACTAGTCTCTTTAGGCTTAACAAATGATGGATGGTTTGAGTGTGTATATAACTCTCACAGAGAGGATAAGATGGTTTCTACCCTCGCTAAGGTATACAACCTTAGTTTTACAAAGATGTGTGTGTTCTGAGTGCGTGTATTACTCTCACAGAGAGGATATGATGGTTTCTACACTCGCTAAGGTATGCAACCTTAGTTTTACAAAGGTGTGTGTTTTGAGTGCGTGTATTACTCTCACACAGAGAATAGGATGGTTTCAACACTCACTAAGATAAGCTATCTTAGATTTACACAGATATACAAGACTGTACAAGAAGATGAAAAGTAGGTGTAATTTCTCTAACACTCGCAACTTTGACTTGTGGATACGCACTTGTTTATCTTTCTTTTTTCTTTTCACACTTTTTGATAACTTCTTGTGCTCTTCTATGAGTGTAGACGATATTTGATATATCTCGTTGTGAATAATGGACTTCAGACGCTTTTCAGTATTCTTCATTTACGTCTGGTAATGTATTTGAAATTTGAGTAGACTTTGACTTTCCTTTCGTCTGGTTTAACTTTTCCTTTCGTCTGGTCAATTGTGAAGATGGAATAATTTAATTCCATCTGAAACGTTTCTTCGTCTTGTATTATCCATCATTTGATACTTTTATTGACCTTTGATTGGTAGTACGCTTTATCTCATATGTATTGCATTTTCGTCAGACTTTTGATTGTTTGATGTTTTGTACAGCTCATCCAGGCTTCGTTTGGTTTGATCATAGTATATGTAATGATGCGTACTTTGTCCTTCAGTTTTGTCTATTCTTATATTTATCTGAAACACTAACGCACATGTTAGAAATAACAATATGTATTATATTTGCCATGTTCAAAACCTTGCTGGGAATTTTTTCGTCTAACTTAACAGATTCCTCTTATTAGTTCCTTAGTCTCTATTGTATATACCTTGTATAGTACTTTGTACATAGTAGATATTTGTATAGGTGTATATTTGTCTTTGTATTTGTAAGGCACTTTTTATCTTTCTTTGTAGGTCATCCCCTTAGGATTTTAGGGTATGTTACTTTGAGACTTTTACTCCATCTGACCTTGTTATTAAGGGTCATGATTTTTTCATATTTTTAGTATTAGTAGTGGGGTAACAGATAGCAAGTGTGTCAAGGAAGTTAGTAATTGGGCCTTCAGTGGGCCTAGGCCAAAATTTTCATATTAGGCTTGTTTTCTTCAATTTAATCCAAGGAATTGATTTAGCTAGGTTTCACCATCATTTGGTGAACCTAACTAAACCAATTCCAAGGTTTTTCAATTGGTTTAGATGAAAGCAAATAACCTTGGTCACCTAGCATCTTCCTTGGCCAAAATTCACTTAGCTTCTCCAACACACTTAGTTCTTGTTAGCCAAGGAGACAACGTGACACTTGACACCTCTTGATTGGCTCTTCTAGATCTAGGTATCTCCTCCTTGTCTCCCTAGGAGACTAGGTGACACTTGGTACTCTAGGATTGGCTAATCTAGATCTAGGTGCTCCTACCTTATCACTATCTTGTCTAACTTGCTCTACAAGCTACTCCATCACTATATATAGGTTGTTTCACTTGTAAACTTCACATTGGATGCATTTATGAGAGATTTCCAATTTCTTCCATCTCTCTCCTTAAAGTCCTAAATTCTCTTTGATTTGGTTCCAATTCTCTTATCCTCTTGCTAAAGAGTATGGTGAGAATTGAAGTGGTTCGTTTTCTTTCTAGGAGTGGTATCACTTGAAGATTGTTATTAACCTTCTAAGGTGAAACTAGAGGTCTCTACCTCTAGAGACCTTGAAGAAGCTTGAGAAATGTCAAGAAGGCAAAGGTCTAGGGAGGAACTTGAAGGAGGAGCCAAAGCATTTAGCTATTCCTTGAAGTTTTCCATCAACATCTTAACATGTTTATCTGAAGCACTAACACACCCGTTAGAAATAACAATATGCATTATATTTGTCTCATTCAATACCTTATTGGGAAGTTCTTTGTCTAACTTAACATGATATTCTGCTGATGAATGTGATTGAGAAAAAGGAAAAGATTGACTGGGTCTCTATTGAAAATGATTGCATTTGGAAAACTAGGAGAAAGGAGGATGGTCCTATATCTTTTTCTTTGTTATTATCAAGAGTGTTTGAGAATGTAGTGGTAGAGCTTCAGGGGGAGAAAAAGATTATTCTTCATGCTTCAAATAGGATTGAAAAATCCTCTTTGCATCACATGGGGATGTTGAAACAAGAGCACCAATCAGAGCCTAAGGCATTTGATGGAACCAACTTCTCCATGAGAGCTAGTGGTTGATTCCTTCTCTTTTCCAAGGTTGATATGATGTGAAGGATGATTTCTTCAAGGGTATGGAAGTGGAGGATTTTGTGGTTGGGAAGGTGAAGGGTGACTCACAAAATGAAGGAGAGAAATGGATGGTGTTTGGTGGTGTAGCTCCTTTAGGCTAGCTCACTTCACTTAGGATGATGAAGGACAACCAAGGAAGACCCAAGCTCACTCAAGGAAGAGAGGAGAGGATAAGGGGCCATGGAGTTCCTAGGGGACTAAGGAAAGAATGAAGAGGCATTAGGCTCACTCAATATATAGCATTAATTTCCAAAGTGGCTACAAGGTGGGTTACCTAAAGTACTTATAGGGAGAGAAAGGCATCTAGGGTTTCTTGGGAGCATTTGGCTAAAATTTTGGAGTCCAAATGCACCC